GTCTCGCTGCCCAGGCGGGTCTCGAACCCGTGGGCTCAGGCAATCCACTCACCTCAGCCTCCCAAAGGCGCGGGATTACAGGCTGAGCCACCGAGCCGGTAGCCCCTAGTATTTGAATGGAAGAATGGATGATGGGTAAACCAGCACAGACCCAGAACTTGTCTTCCCTGCCTGAGGCGAAGGAGTCACCTTCCAGAGTTCAGCGCTCCCCTCTGCCTCACCCAGAAGTCCCACAACTGCTTCCAGTCAACCTGGTCTAGGAGCTCCCAACTGTCCTGCCCAGAAATCCTTCATGAAGCTAGCTCTGGGCGCTTCCAGTCAATTCCCAGTCCTGGGACTCCCAGTTGGGGTGTGCCCAGGCCCGGGCAGCTGGTATTGAGCCTTCCTCCCTGCTCCCTTCCCTCAGGTCTCCTCCTCGGCTTCCTCTTCCTCCCACCATGAGGCCAGCACACAGGAGACCTCAGAGAGCAGCAGGGACTCAAAGGGGAAAAAGTCTTCCAGCCATAGCCTGAGTCACAAGGGGAAGAAGCTGAGCAGCGGGAAAGGTGTGAGCAGTTTTACCTCCGCCTCCTCTTCTTCCTCCTCCTCCTCCTCCTCCTCCTCCTCTGGGGGGCCCTTCCAGCCTGCAGGTGAGTGTGGTGGCCTGGGGGGACTGGGGTTGGGCCGGCTTCTGTGCTGAGCTTTCCCAGCCAGGGTCTTTGCATGTTGGTTTGCATCTTAGTTCAGGGTAAAAATGGGGGCGGTCCCACAAGTGATTCCTCCAAACCCTCCCCTCGGCCCTCTCTTCTGTCTCTTCTGTCGTTACTCCAGACACATGCTATAAGGGCCATTTTTAAAGCTCCCACATTCACACCATCCCCTAAATCTCCAGCTGTCCAGTGAGGTCAGGAAGGTGGGAGTTACTCTCCTCCCTTTTGTTCCTGGTGGGGACATTCAGCCCAGGACACAGAGACCATGGTAGAGCTTAGGGTAGGGAAGCAGACTGCCCCGCCCACACCCCCAGGCCCAAGCCCCCTTTCCCAAGTACAGTCAGGAGTACAGGCAAGAGCGGGCGGGAGCAAGGGGGTCTGGGGTCCAGCTGTGATTTCCTTTCCCTTTGTCACAGTCTCGTCCCTGCAGAGCTCCCCCGACTTCTCTGCATTCCCCAAGCTGGAGCAGCCGGAGGAGGACAAGTACTCCAAGCCCACAGCCCCTGCCCCTTCAGCCCCCCCCTCACCCTCCGCCCCCGAACCCCCCAAGGCTGACCTGTTTGAACAGAAGGTGGTCTTCTCTGGCTTCGGGCCCATCATGCGCTTCTCCACCACCACCTCCAGCTCAGGCCGGGCCCGGGCCCCCTCCCCTGGGGACTATAAGTCTCCCCATGTCGCGGGGTCCGGGGCCTCCGCAGGCACCCACAAGCGGATGCCCACGTTGAGTGCCACCCCTGTGCCTGCCGAGGAGACCCTGGAGCCAGGCCTGAAGGAGAAGAAACACAAAGCCAGCAAGAGGAGCCGACACGGGCCAGGCCGTCCCAAGGGCAGCCGGAACAAGGAGGGTGCTGGAGGCCCAGCCGTCCCCTCCCTGCCCGGGGCCCAGCTGGCTGGCTTTACGGCCACTGCTGCCTCACCCTTCTCCGGAGGTTCCCTGGTCAGTTCCGGACTGGGTGGCCTGGCCTCACGTACCTTTGGGCCCTCTGGGAACTTGCCCAGCCTGAGTCTGGAGTCACCCCTGCTGGGGGCAGGTTAGTGATCCCTGGGGATGGAGGGCATCTTGGGACCCAGCCAGGCTAATGAAGGGACAGAGGCATACACGTGATGTTAGAAGGAAATGTGGTGGAAGCTGTTCCAGAGAATAAAGAGGAAGGAGGGAGGTGACAGTCAATTCCAAGATACTCCCTTGTACCAGTCTTCTGCATGGTTGTAGTGGGAGAGTGGGGTAGATTGCCACCAGGACTTACCAAGTTTTAGGAGGGAGATTAGAAAAGCTAGGAATTTCCAGCCAGGTGCCTATAATCCCAGCACTTTGGGAGGCCGAGGTGAGAGGACTGCCTGAGCCCATGGGTTCAAGACCAACCTGGGCAACTTGGTGAGACTGCATTTCTACAGTAAATCAAAAAATGAGCCCGGCGTGGTGGTGTGTGCTTATAGTTCCAGCTACCAGCTACTTGGGAGACTGAGGCAGAAGGATCACCTGAGCCCACCAGGTTGAGGCTGCGGTGGC